AGAGGAGCCTCTTAAAGAAGAAGTTACAGGTCTGTGAGAGCCAGAAATCTTGCTTGTTTGTAGGTGACCAAATACTTATTTTCCACCATAATTTGCAAATAAATTCATTAAAAATCCTACAATGTGATTTTCTGGATTTTTTTCCCTCAATTTGTCTGTCATAGTTGACGTGTACCTATGATGAAAATTACAGGCCTCTCTCATCTTTTTAAGTGGGAGAACTTGCACAATTGGTGGCTGACTAAATACTTTTTTCCCCCACTGTATATGCATGAAACGTACATTATGGAAAACATGTCTCACATTCAGTCATGGTTAGTAGTACAATAATGGATTGGCAAAAATGTGGCACTGTCAACTTAGAAGGTTAGTAGGAAAGTTAGCCTACTCATTTAAACCACCTAAATATATTTGCGTTCACTGAACATTTAGTGTTTGAAACGCAAACATTTATTTCCCAACTGCTTTTGCTATAATCCTGCAGACTATCATTCTCCATACCTTATATCAGTGGAGGCTGTTCAGAGGAGGAAGGGGATGTTTGTAAACATTTAAAAAGGTAACTTTAGATAAAACTACACTAAATATAATCACATCACCAAATAATTGATTAAAACACTATTTTCCAAAGGTCTACAGTAGCCTCAACAGCACTCTCTAGGGTAGCACCATGGTGTAGCCGGAGGACAGCTAGCTTCCGTCCTCCTCTGGGTACATTGACTTCAATACAAAACCTAGGAGGCTGATGGTTCTCACCCACTTCCATAGACTTACACAGTAATTACACAGTAAACTATCAGAGCTCTTGCAGCATGGACTGACATGTCCACCCAATCAAAGGTTCAGAGAATTAATCTAGTACTGAAAGCATAAGCTACAGCTAGCTAGCTAGCACTGCAGTGCATAAAAGGTGAGTAGTTGACTCAAAGAGAGAGAAAGACAGAATAGTTTAACAAATTAATTTATTCCAAAATTAAGGAGAAGCAAGAGAGAAAGTAACTTTTTTTCACTTTCACTTAGCTAGCGAATGCAGCTAGCTAGTTTAGCCTACTGAAACACCCTGCTCAAACAGAGGGATGCTATGTTAGCTAGCTGGCTATGACTTTCCAACACAACACTGGAACTCTTCCAAGTCAAGGTAAGCTTTTGGTTTTACTAATTTATTGCCACCGGGGCCCGCCGGTGTAACTGCTTACTAACTGCTTACTGACTGTACACTAACGTTACTGCATGATTGTAGCGAGTTTACAAACGTGTTAGTTCTATTAGCTATGCTGACTATGACGTTACTTTAGCTGATATGGTGACAACGATGTAGGCTGTGTGTCGCGGTTTGGCTTGGAAAGGTTTTTTGCCTGGTCACATACAGCTGATGTGTTGTGCATTGAAGTCCACAAGCGAAAGGAAGAGGTGAGAGGAGGAGAGTGCATAGATGGGAGAAGGAATACAACGTGGCTGCTATGAAAGTGAACTGTGTTTACGCGTGATCAGGGGTGTATTCATTCCGCCGATTCTGTTGAAAAACGTTTCTTAAACGGAAGCAAACGGGAATAAACATACCTGAATTTGTCCAATAAAAACTATTGTTTGCAACTGCTGGACTACACCCTATATCAGCTAGATGCAGGCAAGAGTGTGTAAAGTGGTATTGAATGTCACTGTCACCTCAAATCTATCTCTCGACCTGTGTTCACCAACGTTGTAAACTTTCATTCATAGGCTAGGTTGTAGCAACCTCATGATGGGTATAGGGAACATTTGAGTATCATGTAGTAGCCTAAACCTATCGCTGTTACATTGAACTGGGTGAATGGAATATGAATGAGTCATCCAATATGCTGTAATAGAAATAAGGCCATGCTCATAAAAAATTAAGTCCTCCCTCATCTTAAACGGCACTGACATACATTTAAACGGCACTGATATACATTTCTGTGACTAATTAGCTAACTTTAGCTTGCTAGCTCAGTGACAGCTGCGAAGAAATATGCACCTCTTCCTGTTTACAGCGTTCCCTATGATAAATCAGACTAGCGCCACACAACCAACCAGTGGCCAGAATTATATTACACCCGGGTTGGTTTAAAAAACCCATTGACAATGCATGGGAAATGGTTCAGGGCTGTTTAGCCAAAGAATCCCGGGCCGAGACGTGGGAGCCAGCCAGCATATGTTGCGGCGGCGGCAGCCAGACGTGTATAGCCGCAGAGCCAGCCAGCCCGCGGGAGCCCGCATTTAAGCCATGGGGACACATTCCACATCACTCAATGGAAGCCACACTGATGGTGGTACAACCTGACATTGACTCATCCTGAAGTCATGCACTAGTAGATGTCCCTTTACTGCTGTGCCACCAGCAGATTCTTATTATTCACACATCCCCTTTACGGTCAAATCAATGGTTGGTTCTCATCGAGGGGCTGTAGTGGAACAGGTTGAGAGCTTCAAGTTCCTTGGTGTCCACATCACCAACGAACTATCATGGTCCAAACACACCAAGACAGTCGTGAAGAGGGCACGACAAAGCCTATTCCCCCTCAGGAGACTGAAAATATTTGGCATGGGTCCTCAGATCCTCAAAAAGTTCTACAGCTGCACCATCGAGAGCATCCTGACTGGTTGCATCACCGCCTGGTATGGCAACTGCTCGGCCTCCGACCGCAAGGCACTACAAAGGGTAGTGCGTACGGCCCAGTACATCACTGGGGCCAAGCTTCCTGCCATCCAGGACCTCTATACCAGGCGGTGTCAGTGGAAGGCCCTCAAAATTGTCAAAGACTCCAGCCACCCTAGTCATAGACTGTTCTCTCTGCTACCGCACGGCAAGCGGTACCGGAGCGCCAAGTCTAGGTCCAAAAGGCTTCTCAACAGCTTCTACCCCCAAGCCATAAGACTCCTGAACAGCTAATCATGGCTACCCAGACTATTTGCACTGCCCCCCCCCCCCACCCCACCCCACCCCATCCCATCTTTTTACGCTGCGGCTACTCTGTTAATTATTTATGCATAGTCACTTTAACTCTACCCACATGTACATATTACCTCAACTAGCCGGTGCCACGCACATTGACTCTGCACCGGTACCCCTGTATATAGCCTCCCTACGGTTATTTTATTTTACTTCTGCTCTTTTTTTCTCTCAACACTTTGTTTTATTTTACTTTTTTATTAAACAATAAATGCATTGTTGGTTAAGGGCTGTAAGTAAGCATTTCACGGTAATGTCTACACCTGTTGTATTCGGCGCATGTGGCAAATAAAATTTGATTTGATTTATAAAAGTATTCCAGTATCGAGATCCATGATTCCCCTTCAAGTGAAATATCACAATTAATTGTAACTATCAACTCAAGCAACAATCAGCCAAAAGCTAATATTTTAAGTAGGTACTCTACCTATCAATTGATCCCTCTTGGGAAACTACTTCATCTATTAGGAATAAAACATGCAAACATTTTATAATTCTGGAAACTTACACACGTACAAATAATATCTTAAAACCATAGAGATTGAGACCAGAACAGCAACATCCTCTGGCCTTGTAAAATTTAGAAACGTTAACTGCAGGAAAGGTATGTAATTGTTAAGTTCAATAAGAATGGCATCTTTACATTCACTATTTATTCCTTCATTATTTCTAAGATGTGATATTGTATCTTCACTTTGCATCAGAAAATAACATTCTGATAAGTTCGTATTGCTATTCACACTAATTATCACAGTGGAATTTTCTAGCCGTCTCTTAGGTTGAATATGATCAAGATAACAGAATACAAGGGTCTTGGATGAGAAGGCATACCATTCGAGACAACATCCATGTTAATCGTACCCTGCTCATTCATGACAAACCACAACTAGGTTTAAAAATTTCAAAACATTTTATTTTCTTAGCGTCATTTCACCTTAATATGTTCATACTAAAATCAACAATTCTTTACCATTATGTAGTCTTTTCAATATACAAGTATCAATAAGCATGATTAAAAGATCACGATGGCTTTATGTCTGTGTTAAAGAATTTCCCATATCCTTTTATATTAAAATATTTCATATATAGTATCTGTATTTAAACAGAGGTTTAATAATAAAACGTAAGTTACCATAGAAGGCAATTAGAGGATTTAATCAGATTGGGATTCTCATATTAAACAAACGTCGTCTTCAGGAGGTGTATAGAATGTCCATGAGAAGTGAGAGGAGACTGAGAAAGAGAGAAAGGGTGAGTGAGAGTCTTTGAAGGACAGACCAGACCCAAGACATGAGACAGCATTGCATTGCTTAGTCAACAACATTCAAAAGGCAGTAAATTATAACAAGGTTAGTTCACCTTCAAACGTCTACATTTATGCCTTTGCATTAAGCCTAGAGATTTGTTCGACAATAACCAAAATAAAAGCACACATCTGTCCTTCTTCACTAAATCGGTAGATTATTATTATCATTGTAGCAGAGATACTGTATTCTTATGCTCAAGATGACATCCAATAATAACAGTAACATCCAATAATAACAGGGCAGACGATACTCCAACATGGCCTTTAGCATGATACATATATTCTTTTATTAGCAAATACAACTATGCTTTTGAACAAAAGACTTCACATCCATAGCCAGAACTGTATATGAAAAGATCTCTCTTAGAAAGCATTGTTCTTTGAGAATAAACACTGATTTCTTCAATCATCGACGTACATTTCGTATCATGGATTCCCTGGTTTCGACAAGCTGTTCCAGCTGGATAGTCAAACCAGCAGCGAAATCAGACCTTGCCTAGTCGCCTCTGTTCATGTCCTGCTTACCACACAAAGTTTGATTTGTTTGAAAGAAAGTCTGCGGATGGGGGCAATCTTCAGGAAAGGCAATGATAGACACAAAAATAGTGAGCCACAACCGAAGATGCTGTGAGGCAGCAGTCCCTGACAAGTTCTCACCGTTCGTTCACACACACAGATGCATGTCCTGTCAATGTTCCCAGGACTGACTGACTCCATATGCTGGGTTTACTTGGAGACTTGCTGTTGAACATGGAGTAAAAACTCATAGTAAGACAAGGCCGACTCTGTCCGATCCTCTATCATGTTCTGCAAAAAGCTGGCTTTCAGTGGGCTCTCATCCCTGAAAGGGAACAGAAAAGGAAGGTTGGATCCACAACATTTACTCATCGTCTCTTGCAGAATTGCCCTCTGAGCTGTTTGACAGGTCAGCAAAACTCTCCGTAGGCTGTCAACACGTTGTCAATGAGTTCAACCTGCTCTAAATACTATTCATTCTATTTTGGGCTTTGTTTACCCAAGGCAAACATCAAACATTGTAACCCAAATTGCCCCTTATTCCCTATGCAGTACACTACTTTTGACCAGAGCTCAACGGCCCTGGTCAAAAGTAGTGAATGATAAGGGGAATAGGGTGCCATTTGGAACGCAGACATTGCCTCTGAACTCTCCCAGTGCTCTCATCTAGTAAAGTCACACCACTGTTCCTACTGCCTACCTGATGACATGCAGGATGGGGAAAAAGGGCCTCTGTTCCCTCAGCCAGCCAACGAACGCTCTGGTTCTCTGGGACTCTGCAGTGTCCAACTCTGGGAGCATGTTCTAGGAGATTCAACACATCATTATAATAAAATAATAATATCTTTATGGTGCCCCTTTCAGGAAATCTGTTGTGCATCTCATTTAAACAGCACTATATTTAGTGCAACATAAATACTGTAGATACGATGCAAGTCAAACGAGATACAACTACCACATGTAAATACAGTATAATACACAGAGGTCCTGGTGAGCGATACAGAACCTTGACAGGAGCAGTGGAGCTGGGCTCAGAGAGACAGTGAAAAGGGGAGCTGGTGTTTAGGTTCCTCACCATGTTCTGAGACAAAGCAGCGTAGTTTGGGACCCCTAGGACTTGTGTGAGGAAGTTGGGGTTGCAGTTTCTTCCAATCCAGAGATAGATCACCTGATGGAGAAAGGAGAAGTCAGTCAACACTGTGTTCATGTTGTCCATCTGTCCATTTCTTCAGAAAAATCCACTGTAGATAGATATGCAACACTATCTAGGTTGTACGCCAAATGACAGAAAAACATTCCTCAATAAAATCAGCATCATCATGTAAATGAGCGCAAGCTAAAGCAATGCATCAGACTTGATTATTCATGTGTCAATGTTTTAATTGTATCTGTCCCTAACACATAAATGCATCATCATGGTCATGCTACTAACCGAGCCAGCGTCCATGAGGAAGGCCCCCTCTCTGCTCAGCTTCTCCACAGACAACTGCTGGACTCTGGGCTGGGGTATGGTGCGCTCAATGATGTTCAGAGCTCCCTGTGGAGGGGTGTAGGGAGAGAAAAAGAGGAGGGGAGAAGCTGAGTTAACCCCTTCAAATTACTGGATTCGGCTGTATAAAACCGAGCACCGCCATGCAATCTCCATAGACAAACATTTGCAGTAGAATGGCCTTACTGAAGAGCTCAGTGACTTTCAACGTGGCACCATCACAGGATGCCACCTTTCCAACAAGTCAGTTTGTCAAATGTCTGCCCCGCTATAGGCTCAGCCGCGAAGTGGTAGGCCACACAAGCTCACAGAACGGGACCGCCAAATGCTGAAGCGCGTAGAAATAGTCTGTCCTTGGTTGCAACATTCACTACCGAGTTCCAAACTGCCTCTGAAAGCAACGTCAGCACAAGAACTGCTTGTCGGGAGCTTCATGAAATGGGTTTCTCTGGAGTGATGAATCACGCTTCACCATCTGGCAGTCCGATGGACGAATCTGGGTTTGGCGGATGCCAGGAGAACGCTACCTGCTCCAATGCATAGTGCCAACTGTAAAGTTTGGTGGAGGAGGAATAATGGTCTGGGGCTGTTTTTCATGGTTTTGGCTAGACCCCTTAGTTCCAGTGAAGGGAAATCTTAACGCTACAGCATACAATGACGTTCTAGACGATTCTGTGCTTCCAACTTTGTGGCAACAGTTTGGGGAAGGCCCTTTCCTGTTTCAGCGTGACAATGCCCCCGTGCATAAAGTGAGGTCCATACAGAAATGGTTTGTCGAGATCGGTGTGGAAGAACTTGACTGGCCTGCACAGAGCCCTGACCTCAACCCCATCGAACACCTTTGGGATGAATTGGAACGCCGACTGCGAGCCAGGCCTAATCGCCCAACATCAGTGCCCAACCTCACTAATGCTCTTGTGGCTGAATGGAAGCAAGTCCCCGCAGCAATGTTCTAACGTCTAGTGGAAAGCCTTCAAAGAAGAGGTCATGTAGTGTATGTGTTACATCATTTTTAAATCATCCGAGTGTATAAGACGTAATAAAATATAACAAGAAACTATAACACTACAAGAAAATATAGCTTCTCTTATTATTAGTATTATCTATGCTCTGGCCATGTGGTGTGTGAACATCAGGGTTTCCCCTAGCCCTCACCTCGTCAGTCAGATCGTCCACGCGGTACAGCGCTGGGTGGATCATCAGCATGACGTATGCCAGGGGCTGGTACTTCAGCTGACACATGGCAAACACACGGTCGTCCAGCCTGGTGCTTGTACCCGTTCGGAAGGCTTTCTGTGGGTCACAGAGAACAAAAACAACATGAGCAAAGCACGAAGGAGAGACCCAAGCCAATAGCGGTAGCTGGGTCTTACGTTGTCAGTTTATATGACTGACTAGATTTCTTATGGTGTTTTGAAGCTGGTTTCTGTTCCAAGACTTAAGCCATGCCGAGTTGTAATAGAACTACAGGAATAGCCTCTTTTTGGTGGGAGGTAGGTTTCGTCCCAAATAGCATCTTATTCCCTATATGGTGCACTTCTTTTGACTAGAGCCCTATGGGAACAGGGTGCCATTTGGGACGAAGCCGTAGACTGCCAGGGGACTAGCCAGGGAGAGAGTGGGTGGATAGTGTACCTGTTTGAGCAGGGCCAGGATGTAGAGGGGGAACAGCCTGAGGCAGGCGGGGGCCAGCAAGCCAGGCTGCTGGATGGTGAGTACAGAGGTGCGGTAGGACGTCAGAGAGTCGATGGACGCGTTGGTCATCGCATCCCTGGCGTCACTCAAACTGGCCGTCACTGAGCGATCCACAGCTGGAGAGAGGAGACACACGTCAGGAACAAGAAACTGAATTCAAAACTCAGCTACGTTTTTGTCTCAGGGATTGTGATTCACAAGTTACATGAATGTACAGTACATGTTTGTAGTCATGGCCTTCATTACAAAGAGCAACCATTGGGTTCAATAATTTATTGTTGCTTTATAATCAGGGTAAACTATCAATAATAATAGTACCTCATATTACAGTAGGTTCTTTAGAAGAATAACATTTAATCAGTGACTGAATAGACCTAGTAAAACCATCAATACACTATCTGAAGATTAGTCTACAGTCAGTTTGATTTTGCCACTTGGATTCCTCAAAGGTCACGGGTAACCAGGCAACCATCTGATATCACTTATGACCATCTGTCCATGCACTTTAGGCAGCTATGGTACTGTGGGGATGACAAGCCTGTTCTCACTATGTGACATTAAATGATCACAGGATGATGGGACACACTAAGGACTTCACCGTGATGGAAATAAACATGCCTTTAATAACCACACAAATACCAACAAACTACCTACCCATGCTAGCCAGCAGACCAGTGATGGCCTGGACATCAGCCCCAGCAAAGATGTCGGACAGGGAGTTGACAACAGGCAAACACATGGTGTGGACTCTGATCCTTCTCTCTCCTGTAGAAATACAACACCAAGCAACAAGTTATTGTTTCAGAATTACAATGTGTATACATCTGAAATATAACATTTGTCAAGGAAACAAATAAAAATAAACTACATTGCAGTTCAGAAAGAAAATGTTTACATTGTTTACAATGTTTGCAGAGCCTTTTGAGTCCTGGTAAAAAGTAGTGCACTATGTATGTAATAGGGTGCTATTTGGGACGTACAGAGTGAGTCTAAACCAAGTAAATCCCACAAAAATAATGACTTTTTGGTAAAGCCCCCCTATACTATCTCAGAGTCCCCCAGCCCACCACAGCAGCTCCAGACAGTATACCTTTGCTGGACGTGTAGAGCAACGCAGCCTGGAAGGAGACCGACTGCATGTCCACCAGGTTCTCTTCAATGGACATCTGCACAGCGAAGCCTGCGTCTGGGTTCACGTTGGGCAGGGACAGCAGGTCCGTGGAGCGCACAAAGAAGTTCCCATGGAACGTGTGGATGGACAAACCTACACGGAGGTTAAGGGGTAAGAGTTTAACATTATTTTCACAATAATCAACATGCAAAATAGATATAGAAGTGGGTCAGAGAGATTTGAGTTAAATACATTTTAACCGACAGTTTTTCCTCCCAGATACAGAAACCTACTGGAACACAACACCAAGTTTAAAGGGTTAACAGTATCCTTAAATCAATGAGCATTTTGAGATTTCCTTCAGCAAATACTTTACACACAGATTTAAGATACAATAAGATGTATTGTCCCCGAAAGGGAAATTTGTCTCAGACAATTAAAGTGCTGCTGCTTTCACATGAAATATCACATAATACAATAAAATCAGCATAGTGCACAAAGTTACTTCTTACCTTTAGTGCAGCGTATCCTCATGACAGCCTCGAAGCCGATCTTGCGGGTGAGGTACCTCTTGAGATCCTTCTGGAAGCACTCTACCCCAGCTGGGTTGTGCTGCTGGTGGTAGGAGGGGTAGTAGTACACACTTCCCGCTGAGTACCTGGATATGCAACCTGACGGGAGGAAAGAGAAGATGAAGCAGAGATTACACATGAATCCAGCCAGAGGATGATGTTCTATATGAAGAGTCATTTTCTGGCATTTGAATAAACATGATTAATCCCACAAGGGGAAATTTGATTTGTCACCAGCAAGACATATACAGCAACATACACATACTGTACATACATCAGAGACATGCACAAAGCACTGATTGCTTGTGGAATAAGATAACTTTGTAAATAATCACACATTGTAGTGCAGATGTATGCGGCAGACAGCACCACTCACCTAAAGAGGCCAGGTCACAGTACTGGGAGCTCAGTAGGAACAGGTCTACAGCCACCTGCTGTCCTGAACAGTCCAGGGCCAGCTTCTTATAGAAGTCTGTGGCAGGAGACAGGTGCTGGATATCCTGGGGAACCACCACACAACACAATGTGCACCACAGACAATTGTAAACAAAAAACAAAACAAAAAAAGTGGGTATATTATGCTGAAGAAAATGTCTGAAACCCTATCTTAGGTATTGAAGTTATCAAGTTTCAACCGCCACTGCACAACAGGTGTGCACACAACTTCTCTTTACCAGGTAATTAAATAGACCGTGGCCGCGTTCCAAATGGCACACTATTCCCTACATATGGGACCTATAGGGTGCAATTTCAGATGCACAATGTATAAACCAGTGTGACCCTGGCTCTCTCTGGTCTCTACCTTGGCTGAAGCCCTCTGGTTGGGGTCCTCTCTGGACTTGAGGGCCCCCACACCCAGGCTGGGCAACTGGGTCTGGAAGACGGACACACGCCCCCCGGTGGGCGACAGCAGCTTGAACGCTGCCTGCAGGGCCGGGCCCAAAGCAGACTGCGTCTCCATGGTCTTGCCAAACATCTGGGGCAAGCTCTTCAGCAGATCCTGCACCAGCTGCACAAATAAAAAGACATTTACATAAAGTTTCGTAATGCAAAACAGAGCTAAAGAGAGGTTTAGGCAAAACTAAGTGACCCAATGTGAGTGTGTCTTGATGCATTCATGCAATGTGGTGAGTAGTCTGCCAGATTTGAGTGGTAACCTTTTCGTTTTACATTTTGTATCAGCCCGTCTCAGAGGAATATTAGCTCCTTACCTCCTTGCATTCATTGAGGTTCACTAAAAGGCTGTCTGGTGTTGGTAAAAATATATCTGGAGAAAAAGAAAAGACAGCATAGAAGACCATTAGACTATTTTGACCTCTTAAAGTATTTGATCATTTCTAGGTAGTGAATTAGTCTCCTTGTTTTTATCATAAGACAAAAATAAACAGCAACAAATAGAACACACAAAAGGAACACAAACACAATGCAATTTAAAGAGCTCCAGCAAATTATATTTTTAAATGTACTCTCACCTTCGATGTCGGAGACTATGAGCATTTGTGGTTGGGACAGGGTTTCCTGGAGGTTGTAGAAGTGGATGGTGCTGTCAAATGTGATGAAGCCAATCTTTGTCCTCGAGTCCCCAGGGAGCCTGGAACACAGACATGCATGCAGAAGGACTTGTTCAGCAGACAGTCACAGGACACTTTATTTTTAGTTAAAAGCTACATTATTTTGGGGTTATTGGAGACGAAACAACACTTAAAAGCTAGTGAGTTTTCTTGACTAAAATGTTTTTAGTTCATTAAGACCAGAACATAAGTAAACTGACCATGCTGCAAAGGCCTAATCAGCTTTTTTGTCAGTGTTTCAGTGGTGACGTTAATCATACATACGCATTGATGTTCTCTAGCAGTGACTGACAGACGACATCTAGGTATCCTGTTTCCACAGCATTATGGGATACGTCCAGCACGATGAGGTAAACAGCAGGCTGGGGGGGTCTCAGCTGAGGATGACAGGTTTCACACCATCAATACATAGATTAACACAAACACGCGGACACAAAACATGTAAATGTTTCCTAGATAAACGCCAGTAAATTATAAAAAATGTAAGCGTGTCATAAAGCCTGATGGAATCACTTTATGAAGACAGCAGCAGTAGCACACAGCTAATTTCATCTGCATTTTATTAGCTGATTAAAGGGAGCAACATTCAACATATAGATATATTTTCAGGCAGAATAACATGCAAAGATTTGCTTTAAATAGACAATCAATCTTAAAAAGACTATATAATGTGTATTTACCATGTATTCTGAGGGTGCGATGAACTCGATGGTGGCATTCTGGACCTCAGGTCTTTTGTGTGGCTCTCCATACGATCTGCTGACTGGGTTGTACATGAACTCCTCTGGCACTACACCAAACACAAAGATGGCGGTTATCATCACAGTCAGAAAAGAGCAGCACCAGGCTTGTCCTTGTCCATCATCACTATTATCATCAGGTTAATGATATTCTGGACGTTTAGGTCAAAGCGGCGTGCTGGAAAACCTTGGTAGAGCATGGGTCAAGGTAGTCCTTGTGGTGCTCATGTGAATTTCCTTTCTTTTTCTTTTTCAGCTTCAGACCAGCCTAACTTCTCAAAACATAATTTGAGTGTTTAATGAAATAATGAACATTGAATGTGGTCAAAAGTAGTGCAATATATGGGAATAGGGCGTCATTTGAGATGAGCTTGGTGGCTGTGGTCCTCACCATCGTTGACCCGGTAGCACAGGTTACACTTCCATCTCCTCTGGTCCAGGAAGGTCACAAAGGGGTTGATATACGTCCTGCAGGAGCGACACCTCACTATAGTGCTGGAGGTGACCACAGGCAGTTGCTGCAGTGTACAAACAAACCAAACAATAAAAAAAAGGGGCAATCTGGGATTAGTGCACACATTTTAATGATATCAGCTCTTGAATAATTTAAACTTACAATACAGCTAGTTGCTGCAGTGCACAGAGAAACATTAAGATAGCCTAACATGTCCTATGACAATCATCAATGCCAAGTTTCACACAAATCTTAAACATAAAATTACATTTCAGACATGATCATAGATGCGTAGATTGAACATAATTATTCTAGACTATATGATCCTTTGATCTTTTACTAGAAGTGGGATGGGTAGAAGGAAGATTCTACTGAAGGTTGGGCGTGTTTTGCATGTTGGGAGGGAGTGGTCAATGTCTTACCGAGAGATCTTTGAAGGGGTGGAGGAGCAAGCCGAGTGGGAGTTTGGCTTTGTTTAACAGAGACTGGGTCTGGGGGATGCTGGTCAGGGTACTCCGGAAGACACTGTAGTGAAAGGAGGGAGATGCACAACAGGTCAGAACCAGTACATATTATCTACATGTAGGGCCAAGTTCAAGCACATTAACACACAATATTCAACATTGTGATGGGAGTTGACATTGAGAAACAATGCCAGACAAACTACTACTCACTCTGGGTGGCAGTTGATTTTCTGCAGGTCCTGGGGAAGGCAGGGCGTAGGAGGGGTGACTGGGCCCGGAGGGAGCAGGTTCCTCTCCTGCAGCAGGTTGACCACCCTCAGGGCCTCTGGGGTCTGGGACTGCAGACTCAACCCAGCCAAGGAGGGGCTCAGTTGGGCTGGACCTGCAGAGGGCTGGGGAGGAAACATAGGACAGTAAAGTGGTGACTACAATGAATGAGGCAGCACTTAACTTGGGTGCACCCTTGGGGGATCAGAAAGTAGTGCACGTGGGATGCATCCCTGGTAAGTTTCAATATTTCAGTCTATGCATGTCCTATTTCAACATTCAGGAAGAAAAGCCTTTATTTTTTGACACACGAGCACTTAGATATGGTCATTTTCACATTTTCATAAATTCACAGAATGTTTGGGAATTTTGTTTAGCAAGGCATTTGTGAAAATTCTATAGCAATATAGAGTGGGAAAGCGGCAGTGCGTTTGAACAATTAATAGACACTGCAGTAAATAAAAACATCTGTCTTGTCCAGGAACAGAGTCTATGCAGACCGGTGCGCCATAGCCAATCAGAGATACAGTAGGCCTATATGCAAATAAGCCATTTGCAACACGGGCCTGCCATCACTCACTTTGAACTGGACTGTGTGTTTACAGGCAGTAGCAACAGCGCGACTTTAGATCATTAGAACGCATTCACCAAAAGCCACAAAATACACATGAATGGATTTCTGCAAATATGTAAATACCACGGGAGTCCTCTTACATTTGGGAACTTCACAGTCCTATTGATCAAACAACCATGAAAAGGTAGGCTCTCTCCCCCAGTTGCCTATGCACATCAACAACAAGATCAACAACTAATGCTAGCCAGAGCGATATAAGCTAAAATCTAACAAGGAAACATCAGATTCTCAAAAATAAAAAAAATAAAAAAGGTAGTTGGCTGTCAAAATTGCACTGAAAAAACTGGGAATAATAGCCTGCTCGTCCTTCAGCAGCTTGCCTGCCAATCCATGCTTGTAACAACCTACGTTTTGATGCCTGCCCGCCCATTTGAACGATGCCAAATATATTTGATATGCAACTAAGACATATGCTAACTGTGGTTAACAGTCGTTCGAGCTCAGCATAGCTAGCTAGCTAGGAAAGCGATTCACATTTCTTGCTAGCTAACCAAATGACACCTGCCTCTCGAGCTGTATGTAGCCACTGAAAAACGATGAGGGGAAAAGGTTGGTCACTCACCCACTCCTCCAATGACATGACATCCTCCCAGCAGCTAACGTTAGGCTCCGTGTTTTTAACTTGCTAAACAGATACACTATCCCAGGGGTGTCAAACTCAATCAGCGCACGGTCCATATTGAAAAAACTATGAATTTGCAGGCCAGACATATACCATGTTTAAAAAAAGAGCAACTGTGACCCAAACTGCCCATTGTTTTATTAGAAAAAATATGGCCCTTTATAAATGTCCACTTATAGGATGCTGTACATAGCATTTTAATATATTAAAACTAAAAGAGATCATATCTGCCCAGCCTTTGCTGCTATGCTTGCAGATGTGCATAATATGCTGCGGCCCTAATCAAAAAGTATTTAGTAACTCCAAATAACAAAAATGTAGCTATAGGTTTGTTGCAACATTTAAACATGTTTTTTTTATTTTTTTATTGCACTGCATGGATCACCGGTGCGGTTCAATGCAGGACTGCTGTATAGTGCACTCAAAATGTATTGTAGTTGAGTACCAAGCCTAGGCTACTGCTTAAATGTTGTAATAGGCCTACATGTTTCTTATTTGCATGTTGTTTTGTTGCAGGTTTCGTTTTTTGGTTATTAATTGTCAAGCTTTAAAAACCGAAGCCAGACAGCAACATTTTAGTATCCTAGCTAGGACTGTGGCATGTGTCTGTACACTTTCCCTCCGCTGCGCGCTGTAAAGGGGACACATGAAAGGCGCGCAATTGAGGTGGAATTCACCGATGCAGCGCCTCAGGTGTAATTTCATAAAGTAGATCTCAACTGTTAACTCATTTATACTCGCTTGTGTGTCCTATTCAGTCCGCGGTCCTGGTGTTTGACATGTGCGCTAGCCTATTAGCCACGTTATGACTGACTTGTGATCATTGCCCTTGCTAGTTTGACTGTATTGACATTCCCAGCCTTAGTTTAACAGTGCATCCTGAATGGGTGGAGGCAGCAGACAATGTACCAGGCCAGCTGTGATTTACAACTTGATAGCAATATTTTTTGGACTCCTATCCATCTATAACTGCATCCATTTATTCTGCCTACAACACCTTACTGTACTTCCTGGAATTGAGTCAAATATAACCTATTTTTAAAACATCTTAGAAAGTTGGTTTTGAAGCATAAACTGGGAATTTTATATTTTTTACTGATATTATCATTGTCCGTTTCATATCTGCAAAGTAGTTAAAACGCTGTCACTTTAAGTCTTGGATTTGGTTTGACAAAGCATAGAGAGCAAAGTCTGGTCGCTTACCTGCTGGTATGGATGAGGCGCATGGCTGTAAGGCTGCGTCGAGGGCTGCATGGGATGGTGCATGGTAGAGGCGTTAGGGGGTGCGGAGGTGTTCTGATACCCCGGGGGTAGAGAGGGGTAGGACAGACCCATGTGTCGAGCAGGGGGGCCCGGCTGCTGGGGCGGGAGTGGGCCAGCTATAGGGACAAGCACCAAAACAGGCCTCATGTCAGTTCTGAGTGTTGCTAGCAGTACATCTAGGGGACTAAAATGTTATATTAGTCATTCATTTCTGATGAAACTACGATGTAGTAGAGGACTTACTCATTTTAGGGCCCGTCTCCAAGTGATCAAAGCTGTTGGGAACTTGAGCGCCATTACCAGGTGTGGGCATGTTTCCTGTCACAGTGCAAAGATTCCAGATTCGGTCAGAATAAGATGTATAAAAAATTTAATAAAAACATTACACTACTTTTGTGTAAGCACTTAAAAAGGCACAATCTGTATGTTTAGTTTATGGGGAAAAAGTGTTGCCCAAATGTTCTGGGAAAACTTAGTAATTAGCATACATGTTGTTTGTGTTATGTTTCAGGTCAGTTGTGGTTGTACTTTGTTTCATTGCCACAGGGTTGAGAACATATGAATTGCGCATTCAATGTACCTAATTCACAGTCACAACGACAGACAGAAAGACACAATGTGATAAATAGATACTCATCACGACCAAAATAGACAGACAGACTTTGAAAGAATCAAATGTAAACAGATGATATCTGAAATATCCATGGAAGTTCTCTAGGCCTGTTGTTCCTTGCGAAACCATGTTAATAATCTAATAGAAGACAATGGATAAAACGTGATCGTCAGCAAAAATGCACAGGGGACACAACACACTGATAGTGACGAAACCACACCTGGACACTCAATATCATTCTCCTGGTTCTCGTACTCAGTGTGAGGAGCATCATCACTAGCATCACCCCCACACTGAGCTGGCATGGTGGGAAGAAAGAGAAGGCAATGAGACCCAAAGGGGTGGCTGTTGGAGCTAGTACCACTACTCAGACTACACCCCCCCCCCCAAAAAATAGATACCATTTACAACAACAAAGCCACAAAAAAATAAATGCTTAAAAGAGTAAGGTAAACAAACTAGGATCAGCACTCCTACTCAGACCTTTTATGAATACGGCACCAGAACTGATATGTCCTTACCATCAGTCTTGGGGCCAAGGGGAGGGGTGGCATTGCCCATGGGTGGTCCAGTAGGGGGTGGGGTGGGTCTCATTGAGGGTGGGGGGCCGTAAGGTGCTCTCATACCTGGCTGGTATGAGTGAGGAGCCGCCATGGGGTTCATCGGAGGAGGGGCAGAGCCTGGACAACAACAACAGTTCAACGTCACATCATTTAGGATCATTAGCTACACATATTACATATCTCTTATACAGTATCCTATCACAACCCCCATCACATCAAACCTTGTCCAACAACACCTTGTCAACCAAACAATTGTATAATACAGAAATGGCACCTACATAGTATTGTGCTGCCAGCCCAGACATCACACTGTACAATGGCTGTGGTCAAGGATAACCTATTACATAACCTAAGACAATAAAACTGGCAACTATACATCATGACAATGTAACCTATAAGACATGGGGTATAAGAGGACTATCCTTCATAAGAGGGAAAACGGCCCGAGGTGAGTAGCATTATAACCCTACACTGGAGGTGACCAGTCTGACAACAGCCAATGCTGCTGACCCAGAGCTAGCTAATGTCAGTGACCTGGAAGAAACACCTCTAGTGACTACAGAGACTACACTGGGCCATTCCAACTGAGAGCAATCTTTGATGCTGCTTCCAACCGCAAAGATCGGTCATTCAGAGATTGCGAGTGTGAATAAATATTCAGTCATCATCACATCAACTTGAATGAAAATAGTAAACTGGACAGATTAGAGTGAATCATGTTAAATCAGTCATCAAGGAGTCATCCTTGTTGACAGTGATAACGTTAGCCTGGCTGACGCGACTCAAGTGGTACACAGCGTGGGAGATCTGTCGCACACTGGTCTGGACAGGAGTCAGTTTGTTGGTGCAATATTCGCTCAAAAATTGATGTGAGCTTTGATCGGTTCTCTCAAACTAGTTCTCTTCCCCTGGGGAGTCAAGACCTCATTTGGATTTGAAAATCCAACAGTTGTATTGGAAGGGGGCGGCGCTCGGGGGCTGCACATGGCTGTCCACGGGGGGTGTTTGGGTGAGAAAAGACAGAGACGAACCAATCAGTAAAAAAGCACAGCCCCTTTCATTATCGACGCATCGTGCCAAAGGAGCCTTTCCAGACTCTGAAGTCAAGTAGACTTCGAGTATGGTGTCAGCCAGACTGTGATATTTCTTACACCACATTGTTGTTGCATAATGCGATAATGGCTTTGATCATGAATCACGGATGGCTTCTGACCAAACATAAGCCACACACCACAAATACCGCTACAGCGGTGGTAAGTAGTGACTAAACTGTCTCAGAACTCTGGAAATGAGAGTTTCAGTAACTTCACCAGAAGGATATGTGCAGCCAATCTGATCTGTTCATGAGGGAACGGGAGCAGGGGGCAATGTCCACTTTCAACATCAGTTAGCTAGACCACCGAAAGAACAATGAGCCAGATGTTTCACTGGATGTATAAATCTGAAGCATCCGGTTGGCATTTCCACTCACCACCAAATATTGTGATGAGAGGAAGCCCAGTGGCCGGCAGTGGGAGAAGATGGAGAGAGATTGATTTTGGCTGACGTCCTGCTAATTTTCTCATCAATGAAACATTTGATCTCAATACAGCTCTGTTCACAAAACTATAATCTGTTACGAACAGAGTGGACTAAGTTTTGTAGACTTTACCCTTTGCCAAATTTAAAAACAATTGCGTTGTTTAGAAGGAGTGCAAGGGCGAATAGAGTTATTGGACATGTGCACTTCACATAGTAGGCATTCCCTAACTGAAAATATAAAAATACATGCTAGAACTCGCCAATAGGATCTTGCTAGCTAGTGCTTGGCTCTGTCCACCTCCTTGCTTGTTTTGCCAACTATGATACATTTTTTCCCATTGGAAACAACAGGCTGTGGTCTATCTTGTGTTAGTTCTAAAAAATATATTTGACTAGACCACCACCAGTGCGTCCCTTTGAAATCATAGTGACCTAGCATTTCACTGTTGTTAATCCCGACCTGGAGTGTCATTACACAGTCAAAACAACAGGTCAATGTCATAATAATATCTAAAGGTTTTTCAACAAAGTGTTTTTCATCGTAGAAACAAACTGCTGTAGAATATGTAACAGTGTGTTAATCATGCAGCCTTTGTACTGCTCCCTCCCGCACTGTGTTTTACCTTGCTGGGTGTATCCGTGGAGGGAGGTGGGAGGCCCCAGGGGTTGCATGGCGTTGTGGAAGACAGGAGGAGGGGCTGCGCTGTACCCTGCCGAGGAGGCCTGGGGTGGTGCCAAGCTGGGCGAGGAGGTCACGTGATTAGCCACAGGCCCAAGGGGAGGAATGGCCATAGGATGAGGCGCCCCCATCGGTGGAGGCCCCCCATACTGCCAGGCTGGGGGGTACTGGTAGTTGTTAGCAGACACAGGTGGAGGAGGGGTGGCCTGCGCTGGGGGCATCCTGGGGCCTGGGCCAGGGCTGGCAGACTGAGGAGGGGTCATGGGCTGAGGAGGTCCCATAGGAGGCCTGTTTAACATGGGCTGACCTGGAAGGGACTGGTAAGAGCTGACTGGTGGGATGGGCTGGTAGGGACCAGAGTTATAGAGTCCAAGGCCGGGCGGCATAGGGCTCTTGGCCTGCATTGGGTTGTATGGAGTCTGGTGGGCCATGTTGTAACCCGGTCCCGGTGGCTTCAGTGCTACTGGATTCTGTGAGGGACCTGGAAGACAGGATCATGATAACAGGAGGTTAGATGATTCCAGGCCAGTTTGACTTAAGACAAGTACCATACTCTGACATCCCATGTGAATGTCCCTATAGTCTGCATTAAAAACTAAGAGGTCAAATTTGCATGGCCCAGTGCACCGGGTGGGCGGAGTTTGTACATTTTAGACCATTACATTGGTCCATAAGTGACATGTCCACCCCCAGGGCACTGGGCCATGCAAAACAAACTCCATCAATAATAGCTGACTGCCTCATTTGCATACCAGTTAATAACACAGATGAAAATAATCTCACTCTACAACCAATGTTTCATTACTACACTTTGAACTGCATGGCAGTATTGATGGACTAGGCCTACAACAGTTTGTGGCTCTGAAGGGGGATTTGGGCTAGATGACGTTGACCGCAGCAGAAATATTAGGCTAAATGCAGTAAGGGAAATTAGGATTTAAATAGTTTTCCTTATTTTGGAGGTCTGAAGTCTATCTGTGGACAGACTGACAAAGCAATCACATTACTAAACACACTTACAGAGGAGGATATAATCTCCTCACCTGGACTTAAAGCATGCTGCTCCTTTATTGACAGCGAGTGTGAACAGAGAGGAACAGACTGATTAGAAAACAACTTCTCAATGGCGAAGACAAAAACCCATAATCCCAGTCTTTCTGGGCAGTGCCGGGGAAATCTCCAAAATGAAGCCGCCAGCCGGCCACAGCAGTCACGTTGAGGGCTTCCTCCAATCACAGTGAACCTGGCCTGGGCCAACTAACAACTGCTCAGCCAATTAAAGAGCAAGACGAGGCAAATGAGCACGCCAGGCAAGTGTAGGAGTCACACATGAAGATAAACTCTTACCACTAGGAAGTAAATCCTGTACAGCAACAAGGGTCTATAGTCTTAAAGTGGAAACAGTAAGCGAAGTAGGATGAATTCAGCCTATATTAAATCCACTTTGGCAAGAACAATAACGCTTGAGTGCTAGCTTTTGCTACCAACAGAATAGGACAGTAAAATTTAGTGAACTGATGGAAGGCTTTCTGTATTCTGTTAGTAAGATGGATGTTTGAAGCATCTCGGTTTTATCAGAGTTCAAAGACCAACGTTGGAGTAGAGGCTTTTAATTGCCTCTAATGCAGAGATAAGGAAAATATCAAGGCCAGATTAACTCTAGCCTAGGGAGTTTTATAATAGCTTAGACACTAATAGGATTGTCAAACGTTTGCCTGCCGACAACACTTAGCACATATGAACAGTGTCGGCAGTCAAAATCTCATGTTCACACAGCAAAGACCTTAAAGGTTGTCAGCCACTCAGACTTGCTAAAATACTCCAAACCAGAAGGTGGCAGTAGCGTTGTTTGGCAATGCATGTCTGTGTGTGTTGCATAGTCTATGGTCTAGATTCCAATCTTCGCTAGCTAGCTGTGCTAATGTTGCTATTTTATAGAAAGCCCTTATTGATACTAGCCAGATGGCCACAGCTAGATGACTACCTAGCAAGATGATTTAGAAACAATTTAATTCAGTCTCCATAATCCCATAATGCCAGTGCCAGCCCATAGCCAAATGTTTAGCTAGCTAACTAGCATATTCGCTGGCTAGCACAACATACAGTGCTTTCAGAAAGTATTCACACCGTGACTTTTTCCCAAAGAAATTGTGTTACAGCCTGAATTTAAAATTGATTAAATTGAGATGTCACAATACCCCATAATGTCAGTGGAATTATGTATTTTTGCATTTAAAAATAATAATAATTTACAATTAAAAGCAAAAATGTATTGAGTCAATAAGTATTCAACCCCCTTTGTTATGGCAAGCCTAAATAAATTCAGGAGTACAAATTTACTTAACAAGTCACATAATACGTTGCATGGACTCACTACGTGTGCAATAGTGTTTAACATGATTTTTGAATGACTACTTCATCTCTGTACCCCACACATACAATTATCTGTAAGGTCCCTCAGTAGACCAATGCATTTCAAACACAGATTCAACCACAAAGACCAGTGAGGTTTTTTGCATGGTGAAGTTATTAATTACACTTTGGATGGTGTATCAATACACCCAGTCACGACAAAGATACAGGCGTCCTTCCTAACTCAGTTGCTGGAGAGGAAGAAAACCGCTCAAGGATTTCACCATGAGGCCAATGGTGACTTTAAAACAGTTACAGAGTTGAATGGCTGTGACAGGAGAATTCTGAGGATGGATAAACAACATTGTATACTGAACAATAACAAATGCAACATGCAACAATTTTACTGAGTTACAGCTCATATAAGGAAATCAGTCAATTGAAATAAATGATATAGGCCATAATCTATGGATTTCACATGACTGGGCAGAGGCGCAGCTATGTGTGGGCCTGGGAGGGCATAGGTCCACCGACGGAGGAGCCAGGCCCAGCCAATCAGAATGAGTTTTTCAACACAAAGAGGCATTATTACAGACAGAAATACACAGTTTCATCAGCTCTCCGGGTGGCTGGTCTCAGATGATCCCACAGGTGAAGAAGCTGGATGTGGAGGTCCTGGGCTTGCATGGTTAGACGTGGTCTGTGGTTGTGGCTGGTGGACGAACTGCCAAATTCTCTAAAACAACGTTGGAGGCAGCTTATGGTAGAGAAATGAACGTTCAATTCTCTGGCAACAGCTCTGGTGAACATTCCTGCAGTCAGCATGCCAACTGCATGCTCCCTCAATTTAAGAAATCTGTGGCATGGTGTTGTGTGACAAAACTGCAAATTTTAGAGTGGCCTTTTATTGTCCCTAGCACAAGGTGCACCTAATGATCATGCAGTTTAATCAGCTTCTTGATATGCCACACCTGTCAGGTGGATGGATTATCTTGGCAAAGGAGAAATGCTCACTAACAGGGATGTAAACAAATTTGTGCACAGAATGAGAGAAATAAGCTTTTTGTACATATGGAACATTTCTGGGATCTTTTATTTCAGCTCATGAAACATGGTACCAACACTTTATCATGTTGCTTTTATATTTTTGTACAGTATAGTTACTCCACAATACTAACCTAATTGACAGAGTGAAAAGGAAGCCTATACAGAATAAAAAATACTCCAAAACATGCATCCTTTTTGCAACAAGGCACTAAAGTAATACTGCAAAAAATGTGACAACTCAATTAACTTTTTGTCCTGAATATAAAGATATGTTTGGGGCAAATCCAATACAACACATTACGGAGTACCACTCTTTTTTACCCCTTTTTCTCCCCAATTTCGTGATATCCAATTGGTAGTTACAGTCTTGTCCCATCGCTGCAACTCCTGTACGGACTCGGGAAACACGACCCTGCCAAGCCGCACTGCTTCTTGACACTGCTCGCTTAACCCGGAAGCCAGCCACACCAATGTGTCAGAGGAAACGCCGTACAGCTGATGACCGAAATCCACTTGCAGGCGCCCGGCCCGCCACAAGGAGTCGCTAGAGCGCGATGGGACAAGGAAATCCAGGCCGGCCAAACCCTCCCCTAACCCAGACGACGCTGGGCCAATTGTGCGCCAGCTTATGGGTCTCCCGGTCAAGGCCGGCTGTGACACAGCCTGGGATCGAACCCAGGGTTGTAGTGACGCCTCAAGCACTACGCCACTCTGGAGGCCACGGAGTACCACTCTACATATTTTCAAGCATAGTGGTGTCTGCATCATGTTATGGATATGCTTGTAATCGTTAAGGACTGGGGAGTTTATCAGAATAAAAAAGAAACGCTGCTAAGAACAGGCAAAATCCTAGAGGAAACCCTGGTTCAGTCTGCTTTCCGCCAGACTCTGGGAGATGAATTCACCCTTTAGCAGGATAATAACCTAAAACAAAAAGGCCATATCTACACTGGAGTTGCTTACCAAGAAGACCGTGATAGTTCCTGAGTGGCTGAGTTACAGTTTTGCCTTAAATCTGCTTGAAAATCTATGGCAAGAGTTGAAAATGGTTGTCTAGCAATGATGTACTACCAATTTGACAGAGCTTGAACAATTTTAAAAAGAATGGGAAAATATTGTACAATCCAGGTGTGCAAAGCTCTTAGAGACTTAGCCAGAAAGACTCACATCTGTAAATCGCTGCCAAAGGTGATTCTAACATGTATTGACTCAGGGTTGTGAATACTTATGTAAATGAGATTATTCTATATTTAATTTGCAAGAATGTGTACAAACATGTTTTCACTTTGTCATTATGGGGTATTGTGTGTTGATGGGTGAGAAAATAAAATCTGTTTAAGCCATTTTTAATTCACGCTGTAAAAAAATGTGGAATAAGTCAAGGGGTATGAATACTTTCTGAAGGCACTGTAGCTAGTGAATATGCTATGCTAGAATAGCTAGCTAGCTAAGGACACTGCACTAATTCGGCAGCTAACACAGGCAGCTGTTTCATGGAAACTAATGCATTGGGATTTAATTATGTCAACACTAGCTGCAGTGGTTGGCTAGCTTGGAGGAAGTATTTAGTGTTGTGTGCATTGCATCTGTGCACTTAGCTAGCTACCATCCCATAGCTTACATTGCATATGAAGTGTGACTAGATCATGATATTTAACCGTGGATGTAGGGAGAAAATGCCTTATTTTGTCATTTTTGTTGTCACTCCTGTTGGCTCCCCTACATTGAGGTTTGTGCTCTCTGATTGGTTTAAAGTCAAAGTTGTTTGCCACTGACGAGCATTGCGATTCTACAAGTAGAAATGGCAGATTTGTCGCTACCGAGTTGGCACGCAGCAGGTACCGCTTTTGTTCTAACAAGAGAAGGAACGGCCTCCCACTGTGATAAGTACCTATCGGCAGTCTACCGTCAGTGAGATTCTCTGTGTATTTCATACTTACGTCATCAATAGCCAGGCCAAACACTATAAAGAACTTGTCGGGCTGTGGTCGAAACCAGAGATCAGAGGGTTATCTATGGACAAAGATAATGAGTACTACTGTACAAATAACAACGATTGAGTTTGACTGCAAGTGTCTGATTAAGTTCAGTTGGATGGTTCACGGTCCCCCCTGAGATTATTGATACAAAACAGCTGTCAAACTGTACATAAACATCAGTTATTATGGAGATTAAATGTTTGACTATTCAGGGAGAGGAATGTCAGACCAATAAAATATGAGTAAAACCTTTAAACAGGTTAACATTCACAAGGACGTGGGGCCAGACGGATTACTAGGATGTGTAGTCCGAGCATGCGCTGACCAGTGTCTTCACTGACGTTTTCAACCTCTCCTTGACCCAGTCTGTAATAACAACATTTCAAGCAGACCACCATAGTCCCTGTGCCCAAGAACGGCAAGGTAACCTGTCTAAATGCCTATACACCTTTGTAAAAAACATTTAGGATGTTATAGATATGTATTTATAAATGTGTAAATGTCTTTTTGACACGTTTTTCTATTAGACACCTTAATGCATACTTTGAAATTATATTATGTAAGCTAAACATACAAATAAATACAAATATTCCTTAAAGTATAATTTTTACAGTACTAACGTTACTGTCCCCACTACAACAAAAAATACGTGTACAAACATTTAAACGAAATACTGTAGAATTCCATTCATGCCTATGGAGGACTGCTTTTCTGAGGAGAGCCAATATGGCCGACCGGTGGCTTCAAAGCCTCTTATTGGCCAATACATAGTATCAGCAATCCAGGGTTTATATACACCATTGGTCTACACAGGTCTGTTGTTTACGAAGCATGTGACAAATACAATTTGATTTGAATTGCCAGCTAACTGCATTTAGTGTCAGTGTCTAATGCATAACCAAGTTTAGCTAGCTAATTTATCGGACTATTCTAAGCCAGATAAATGTTAGCTAGCTGTCGTAGTTAGGGAAATCAACGCTCTAACTTATAGCTATCCAACTAACGTAGCTAGCTATATGAACAACATGTGTACTTGTGGTCTCGACAAGAGTAAGAGAAAGTTAGCCCCCCACTAGCAGCCATCATTATTAGCAAGGCAGCAAGCTACTGTAGGAAGCTGGCCATCTTGCTAACAAGCCAAGTCAGGTAAGGTCGGATAAAAGCCTATCTAGTTAACGTTAGTTTAGCTAGATATGAAGCGAACAGAAGGTAGCTAGCTAATGGCGAAAGTACTCACCATTTGCGTACGGCGGTCCTCCTGCCCCATTCTGAGAGCTGAACCCCGTACTTGACATCTTGAAATAGACACCGACCGTAATCAAAATATACTGCAGAGATGCTTGGTTGTCGAATAGCTAGCTGCGTCTTACTTAGCTATCTAGCTGTTTAGCTAGCAGGGGAGATGTTTGGTTAACGGAGCGACTTTGCCACAGGCTTTCAGGTAAAACAAAAAGTTAATTAGCTAGCCCACTTGTTAGCTATCACAGGACCATGATTGGGGCCGTTACCCGTTCAACTACGGGTGTAGGACTTGTCAAGATAATCGTGTGAGGCCACTGAGATTATATGAACGTGTGAGACACTTCTCAACAGATAGACGAGACTTCTCTTCTTGCACAGGAAGTTGGGATCACTCAGCAGACTATGGCTAGATGGGGTACATTTTATGTCCCAACAAAAATGTGTGTTGAATTTTAGCCAACCCTTTTCATCATTTTAACCTAATTCTCAGAACCTGCTACGTTAATTCTCATAACCAGGGCCCAGATTCACAAAACACTTCTTACGCAAAAACTTAAGACGCTTCTTAAGAAGAAAAAAAAAAGAAGTTAATAAGATTCCTCAACAATATCTTAAGATTTTATGATTTTCTTACGAGCTTTTCAAATATCTTCTTACGAATCTTATTAAGATGTTTGTTACCAGGCAACCGTTTTAGCTAGTTATTTAGCTAGCAATGGCAGTCATGTTAGCATATTTTGTACTGAGATCACTGTTCTAAAACATGTTCTTGGGTTTAAAATAATCAATACTGAAACTTTCAGATGAAGTTTGAGTTAATTCAATATGTTCAATTGCTTTAATAAGATTTTTCTCTCACTGCCCTGAGTTTAAGACAAGGGTTTAGCTATTTTGGAATTAAGAACATTTTCAAGAATCTAATTTCTTCGTAACTTTATGCTTAAGAAGAAACATAAGAAATAGCGCAAGAAATTTTCCAAGAACCTTAGAGGAATAGCAACTTTTCTTAATTTTCTTTAGTCTATAGTTAAGGGAAAAAATGGCAGTTAAGAATACGTTTATTCTTAAGGTTTTGTGAATCTGGGCCCTGCTGCGTAAATTCTACGAAAAGTCCATTCTGACATAAACTGTATCCAATCTAGTCCACCCAGCAGGCTCAACGTAAACCACCTCAAGCATGCGCAGTTGGTACACGTGGCACTTCCTGTGCATAGTGGATTTCTAGAGTACTAGAAACAGTGAAACGCTCACAAATTTGTACTGTCTTCGCTTCCTTTGATGTTTGAGTACAAAAACGTAGGATCAGTTCAATACATGGTGACAGACTGGCTTTTACAAATAAAATGAGTTTATATAAAACCAGACTAATGCTTAACGTTTTAATAAATACGTTTCTCTAGCGGGATTTTTGCTGGAGTTGAATATTTTGGACTGGAAGTCGTTCTTGTTCAGATCAGAAATATGGACATACAAACTGCCCCATCAGATAGTTTGTACAATATGGCCTGATGAACATGAGTATTTCAATGAAATGTTTTCTGTATTAACACCTTTACATTACAGGAGAGCCGAACTTTGTTAACCTTTTTGTTCCCCTACCGGAAAGATGATAATGAAACATAAACAGGAAGCGGCTAGGCCTGAGGACAGCCATTTCTGTGTCGTGGCTCTCTAACAAAACACGAAGGTGGAGTGGAAGACGTGAATTGCTGGCTCTCATTTGACCACAAGGCCGATTTTCATGATTTTAAGAGCAAATATATTTAGTCAATTGATCTACACTTAGATAGCTAACGGGTAAGTGTTCGCATTAATTATTTTAAATATGGGGTTTGCGACAGTGTTAGTTTATTTGAACGTTCGGTAACACTGCTAGTTAGCTTTATGCTAACGTTATTTGAGCAGGAAGCCTAAAACAAATTGTGTAGGTAGTTTGCTGCTGACGTTAGTTAGCTAACGTTTTGTATTATTTTGAAACATAATGTGGTAACCTTACATTAGGCCCATTACTAGTATGTGAATTACTACCTTGAAACATTTTCTGTAGTTGTAACAAACTGCTTCGCCGTTAATGCCAATACAGCTAACGTTAGCTAACTCCCTCCCACTACTAGCTCGATGCTAATGACACGTATCTATGAATTCAGATGCACTAAGATAGCAAGAGGGCCAACCAATCATTATGGCAATTTACGTGTGTATGTCAACGTTAGCTAGATTTTAATGTTAGCTAAATGTGAACAAAACCAACTTCGCCTCCGCTGCCAGCTAAACGTAATATTACAATTTGTGACTTTCACAGCTCGCTGTCCTTCAGTTTTGCTTTCAAACGTTAGCTAGCCAACTGGCCATAGTGGTCGTTGCTAAATTCAAATCAAATCAAATTGTATTGGTCACATGCGCCGAATACAACAGGTACAGACATTACAGTGAAATGCTTACTTACAGCCCTTAACCAACAGTGCATTTATTTTTAACAAAAAAAGTACAAATAAAACAACAACAAAAAAAGTGTTGAGAAAAAAAAGAGCAGAAGTAAAATAAAGTAACAGTAGGGAGGCTATATATACAGGGGGGTACCGTTGCAGAGTCAATGTGCGGGGGCACCGGCTAGTTGAGGTAGTTGAGGTAATATGTACATGTGGGTAGAGTTAAAGTGACTATGCATAAATAATTAACAGAGTAGCAGCAGCGTAAAAAGGATGGGGTGGGGGGGGCAGTGCAAATAGTCCGGGTAGCCATGATTAGCTGTTCAGGAGTCTTATGGCTTGGGGGTAGAAGCTGTTGAGAAGTCTTTTGGACCTAGACTTGGCACTCCGGTACCGCTTGCCGTGCGGTAGCAGAGAGAACAGTCTATGACTAGGGTGGCTGGAGTCTTTGACAATTTTGAGGGCCTTCCACTGACACCGCCTGGTATAGAGGTCCTGGATGGCAGGAAGCTTGGCCCCAGTGATGTACTGGGCCGTACGCACTACCCTCTGTAGTGCCTTGCGGTCAGAGGCCAAGCAGTTGCCATACCAGGCGGTGATGCAACCAGTCAGGATGCTCTCGATGGTGCAGCTGTATAATTTTTTGAGGATCTGAGGACCCATGCCAAATCTTTTCAGTCTCCTGAGGGGGAATAGGCTTTGTCGTGCCCTCTTCACGACTGTTTTGGTGTGTTTGGACCATGATAGTTCGTTGGTGATGTGGACACCAAGGAAGTTGAAGCTCTCAACCTGTTCCACTACAGCCCCGTCGATGAGAATGGGGGCGTGCTCAGTCCTCTTTTTTTTCCTGTAGTCCACAATCATCTCCTTTGTCTTGGTCACGTTGAGGGAGAGGTTGTTGTCCTGGCACCACACGGCCAGGCCTCTGACTGCCTCCCTATAGGCTGTCTTCATGGTGATTTTGGTGATTTTCATGGTCTTCATGGTGATTTTGCACCATCAATTACACTGATGTGTTAATGACACAGCTAGTTAGCGGATTGTAACGGGCTAACGTGATGCTCCATTAGCTGTTACAGGATAGGTACTGTTTGGCATAACACAAGTAATTTTCGACCAACCTTAACTTGGCGATACTACTACAGTATCTACGTTCTCGATTCGGCCAAACATGTATCTTCTAAAATGTCTGTATCCAGTTGCAGGTGGTTCGTTTGAATTTAGAAAATGCTCCATTATTAAAATATATATATATTTTGCTCCATGAAGTAATCCACCAATGTGTACAGCGCATATTGTCTATTTAAAATCTAATTGATCGAGACAGGTGAGTGTCATGACATGCGGTACTTTGGGGTGAGAGAATATTTGAAATAGACATGGCAATGTACATATTGTTGGATTACTTAATGGAGCAAAAAAGTTATTTATTTTAATAATGAAACATTTTCTAAATTCAAACAGTACCTATCCTGTAGCGGCTAATGGAGCATCACATTATGCCGTTAAAATCTGATAGCTATGACACAGACACCTTGGAGCTGAATTTTTATTTTTTGGAGTCAATAAAATCAAACTCAATAGGTATGTGACATGAGATTCGTTTGATTGTGTGTGAGTTGGTGAATTCTTGTGTGTAGTGCTCGGTACTTATGCAATGTTGAACCCAATTCCTTTTAGCCAGAAATTGTCTTTTACTTTTGACAGTCTGACATGTTGATACGGTAATAACCTCTTCTAGTAATGTTAGTCATCAAACTAGAAATAACTAAATCAGTCAAAATACATTTTTATATCTCTGGATTCTCCTCTATATTGAATGCTATTGGTCATATATTGAAAATCACCCCCTACTTTTAAATGATTGATTACATCATTGATTGATTAGATAGGAGTGAGATCAACAATGTTATGACAACTACTATTAATTAGTGGGCATTTGAAATGGATATATTTAGTATCTGACACTATGCAACTGCCTTTTGTCTTCTGATTATAGCCACGGCTGTTAAATGTTTCATATTAGTTTGATAAGAAATATACATACTTAAGCAATAAGGCATGAGAACCTGGGAATTATTGTGTGAATAACTCCCGACTAAAGGCTGTTCTTAGGCCTGAGGCAAAGCCAAGGGCCGGGGAAAAAGCCCTTAGAGGGTGTTATTCTTGATAATTCCTGGGTTCGAGGGCCTTATTGCTTTTATAAAACGGTTGCCAACATGTTAAAATATTAATGTTTTCATTAAAAACATTACATTGAGTAAATTCGTTTTATTTCATCCTTCCACCATGCAAAATAGTCTGGGCAAAAGCCAGTCGTTAGTTCAGATTTGCAAGTTGCTAGCCAAATAGACGGGTTGGTTGTTTAGTAACAAAACCGACGCGTGCACAACTGAGGAAAAACAGACAGGGTTGGCTTAGATTGTTGACAACATGTAAGCTATATTTCGTCTCCAATGTTTATTGAAAATATAAATACATTTGCACAATGAGCACTTGTTTCCTCTGAAATACATCCTTATAGTTGTTGGTTAGCTAGCTAGCGAATTTGAGCCATATTAGCATTGACATGAAATCTGTCAAAACAAGACATGGTATCAAGAACAAGATGAAACGAGCCACAT